TAGGGCTGTTTTACCCTCCTTGGCTCAGGGCCAGTCGCCCCACCTTCTACTTGCACTTTAGGGGTGACCCTCGCGACCCCCGCGGCGATCGCCGCCACTACTGGAACGACTTCCATGCCCTCTGAGGCAATGTCCACCACTTCTGGGGCAATTACTCTTCCTGGGGTCTCCTTCACATCCCCCCCCTCTGCCTCCTTCGCCATACTGGTCTCTTCTGCCCTCACTTCCCTCTTTCTCTTCTGGGCAGGCTCTTCTCCACTCCTCCTCTCTCGCCTCTTCTTCTTCATTACGCCCAACACCTCCATCTCCTTCAACGACCTCTTCTTCAAAGGATCTATTAGGGGCGGTCATGGCACAAATTCACCTAAGTTTTTTTCCCCCAAGGGTTTAGGTCGCGATCGGATCCTCTCCCTTGCAGCCGACTTTGGCGGTCGGTCTGCCTGAGACTCTTTGAATTTTTGGGCTTTGGCAAGGATGATCTGATCCTCTGCCTCTTGAGCCTTCCTCTTTGCCTCCAACTCCGTTCGGTTGAGGTCCCCACCACTCGGTTGTGGACCCAACCCTGCCTCAAACAAAGCCGACGGCTGAACGAGCTCGTTCCATCTGGCCCCTTCATTTTCCCTCAATTCCTTTACCCTCTTCACTGCTGGTGCTCCCAGCTTTGGCTCCACAGACTTGGTGGGCACTTTCAAAATGGTGCGCACTCCAACCCCTCCACTGGCAGATACATAGAACCACCGTGGTCTCCACCCCTTGATCGACGACGGCAGCCCCGCCACCAGCCATTTCCCTGCTACAGCCTGCAGAGTGATCCAAGTCTCTTGTTGCCCTGAGGCCTTGTAATATGCGAAGAATTCGTCTACTGTCATGGCCATCCCTTTGTTTGCCTTCGGCCACGCACTTGCACAGGCCAGTAAGATCTTCCACGCATTGGGCATTAGTTGGCCCAGCGCTACCTCCAAACGATTCAGGACATCTACCACCACTTGCGGCAAGGGCAGCCTCAATCCTCCCTTCAATGCTTCCTCATAAAGGGCAAACTCCCCTGACCTGGCGTCGGATGGCCTCTCCGTCGACATCGGCAACAACAACTCTATTTCAGCAAGCGCTTGGTATTTTTCACGAATGGCCTCCAAATCCGCTGCAGTAACCGTTGATCTATCTGCCTTTGTATGCCAGTGATCTGGTTCTGCCTGGCTGATTGGCTTTTGAGCTGCTATCATAGTGGAACCATGGGATCGTACCACCGACTCCCCCACCCTCTCCATCCTATATTGCTGTGCTAACTCCACTGCATCATCATCACCAAGTGGATCCACCCTGACATTCGCAGTTTCTTTTTGGGCCATTTCTATGGTATGCCTGCGAATCGTTTCAGATGCAGGTGCAAGGAAGTTGAAAAAGTGTTGCAGAGGTGTATCGCGAGCAACAAAGTAATTCACACTTGGAATATTTTGATTTTTCGTAAACAAGTAGGTGAATCGAATAATGTCAAAAGCCCATGGTTTGCCCGTATTCCAAGGATCCTAATTAATTTTCACCAACTTGAAAACTTTTCAAATCATCCGCCAAAACTGTCTTTTTAACATCCATAATGACCTATTGTTTCACTTCTGATCTAACGCCTAATCCCCCCCCGCGGGATGTTGCCACGTGTACGACCACGATCCACTGTCTCCTCCCCTTACCCTATCTTTTCCACTTCAAATCACCACGTAACATGCCGCCTCTCGAGCCCTACGCCCCTCCACCTCACCCTTCGCGGTCGACCCTCCTCGTGGTCGACCCTCCCACTCGGTCACCCTTCGCGGTCGGCCCTCCTCGTGGTCGACCCTCCCACTCGGCCAACCTCCGCGGTCGGCCCCCCTTCGTGGTCGGGCCTCCTCGTGGTCGACCCTCCCACTCGGCCAATCTTTGCGGTTGGCCCTCCTCGTGGTCGGCCCTTCCACTTGGTCACCCTGCACGGTCGGACCACCTCCCGGTTGGTTCACCTTCTCGATTATCCTTGCCGGTCGACCTCCATCCTGCCAATCCCTAACACCTTCATCTTCTTCATTTGTATTCCCTTCGTTGGACTAAAGCTGCACTCGGGAATGGGGGACTACTGACGCGTATAAGCCCATAAAGGCCATGAATCACTATGAACAACCCAAGCCCATCACTTAGAGCCCAATACATAACCCAGCTGGTGAGGTCCAGGACAGCTGGAATCTAACATGGCATAAAGAGCCAATGACATTCAGACACAGGCAGGTGAAGGACGAGCCACATCAGCAGAAAGATCTGCAAAGTTATTGCCACTGCACATCACCATTAATGCAGCACATCACAGCATTTATTACGACAACACCTCTCCGTCGGAACAGGACCCCCTTACCCTGAACAAGGTAAGCTACAGCATAGACTTTCGGCGAGGAGGTCAGGTCGGAAAGGACAGCGAAATGATTACTAAAGGATATAAGCAAACGTTGAAGACAAGAAGAAGGTTAAGCTTTTCTATATCTAATCTCTCACTCTACACTCTACTTCTCTTCCAAACTTGCTCGTCGGAGGGTTCACTGGGGGACCACCCCGTTTCCTGTTGAACTTGTTTGCAGGTTATTCGGTGGGCTTGATCATATGGACCTGGGCTTGAGGAGTTTGGACCAGTCCGATCCATTCACTGGGACAAACTACATCATCAATTTTGATATTTAAAAAATAGTTAAATTAGAAGTAGAATTAGTAACATAAAATTAAAAGTAATTCTAACTATTTAATTTTCTTTTATATTCATTTGAAAAATAAAAATATGTAGAAATAGAAATTATACAAAATTTATTAAAAAAATTCAATATAAATGTGTTGTACTTGGATTATCATATAATGATTTTATATGATATATATATATATATATATATATTAAATTATAATATTATAAAATAAACACTCTTAATTAAATTAAAATATCAACTATACAAAAGAAATTTAACAATGACTAAGTAAGAAAGAATCACATAACAACATCTAAAATAAAAAAAAATAATAATAAAAAATATTTAAACGATAGATACATCTCAGTGTATAAAGTGATTAATTATTTATAATATAATGTCAAAACATAAAAAAAAAAATATTGTTCAACAATTGAAAAGTAATTCAAGTAGTAAATCCACACTTTAGAAATTCCTCAAGATTATCATTGTTGTGCTAGTTTTTTCTTTTGTGAGTTGTAATTATATAAATAATGTAGGAAATGAAGTATAATTTTATATATAGAATGTATAAAATTTAAATGATAAATTCATAATATAGAATTGTATTGGATATAAAATAATGCACGGAAAAATAAGAAGGGAAAAAAAAAAGACAATTTAGTATTTAAAAAAATTCTAATACCCTTGAAAAAATTAAGAAGAAAAATGTAAAACGCAAAATTGGTATTGAGGCCTTATTTGAGGGCATATTATTTTAGTAACTTTTTGATTTTTTGGCTAAAATATGAGGTAAAAAAAATTAGTATGTTTGGAATAACTTTTTGATTTTTTACTAAAAAATGTGTAAAAAGTAAAGAGAAAATGAAATCATTGATTTTTTTGTATAGTTTGTTGGATTTTTGAATTTTTTTAATGACTTTTTGACTTTTAACCTAAAATGTAATGTTGCCAAACGAGGCCTGTGTTTGTGGATTATCTTAGTCGTCGCTTGACAATAAACTTTTTTTAGTTGATTTTTTTGGCTTTTTGACTATTTTATCTTAGGACTAAAAGTTTGTTTGGTTTGATTTTTTTTAATTTTTTTGACTTTTGTGAAAGAGAATATAAAATGATTATAATTTGGATGCGAAGGGTTGGTTTGGGGTATCGTAAAAAAGTGCACTTTTTGTCTTTTTATGAAAAGATGTGCAGAAAAGTAGAGATGTGATGTGATGAAAAAAAGATAAAAAGATAAAAAAGATGGATTATATAGGTTATGCCAAACCTAGCCTTAATCTTATTAACCTATTTTGTATTTTGTGTTTTTTTAAGCCAAAAAGTTAAAGCCAAACAAACTCCCAATTTGTCTTGAAAAATATATAGAAAGAAATATTTGTCAAGTAAAATTCATATAAAATAAATAAAGTTAATATAATTTAAATTAGGTTTGGATTAATTAAAAAATATATATTGATGTGTAAAAAAATAAAATTTTATAATATGTTATTTAAATATGAAAAAAACACTACTTCTAATAATATATATACTATATGACTTGATGTCTAATTGTGTGGTGGCTTCTCTTTTTGTTACGTGACAAATTTTTCTATCATAAAATAAAGAAAAATCTTTTTGTCACTCGACAAATTTTTCCATCATAAAATAAAAAAAAAAATCAGTTTGTTTGTTTTTATTTTTCAGAAAACACTTTTCAGAAAATTCTACATTCTTATTTTCCGTGTTTTTTTGTTTTTACTGAATTTTTAAAATATTTTAAGCAATTTTTTTTTACTTTTGAGACACACCTAACATAAATACACATAAAAAGTAAAAAAATTATAAAAAAAATCTTTTAAAAATTCACTAAATACCAAAAATATAAAAAAATACAAGAATTCAGTACATTTTTTATATTTTTATGTATTTATTAATTTTTTAATATATTTTTTCACAAATTTTTTACTTTTTAGATATATCTAACTAAGGTGTATCTAAAAAAGTAAAAAAAATGTTTAAAATTTAAAAAATATTCACTAAAAACAAAAGAATACGAAAACTAAAAAACATAACTTTTAAAAAACTTAATTCAGAAAACTCAAATCAAGCACACTGAATATTATTCAAAGACGTGTGTAAAATTTGAATCCAAAATCTTAAATTTTATTAAGAATACTCTTATTATTTAGAACAATGTATATATAATAATATTAATTTTTTTATTATTTATTTTTATATTTATTTATCGAAATTACACACATTACGCGCCACCCGCTCGTATATAATATCTGATTAGTACTAACTAGTATTTATTTAGACACTATTGAGGTGTTCTATCTTTCGCTCTCTCGCTTCTCAGTCTTTCTCTCTCCACCACTTCATATGATATGAAGCTTATCTGTTCTTCTTCCAGCTAGATTTTCTCCCGATTTCATTTTTTTTTTTGGGGTCGAGACAGAGAGCGAGAGAGATACGGAGGGAATACACACATCACTTTCTCTTTCTCTTTCTCTCTCTCTCTCTCTCTCTCTCTATATATATATATATGTGTGTATACCTATTATCTATCTCACTCTCTCTCCTTGTTACTGCGATTTTCTCGGTTGAGAGGAAAAAGAAGAAAATTGAATCTCAGGAGATGGCCATGGAACATACGATTCTCAGCTATGATTCTGTCCGTCGATTTCGCTAATCTTGATTCATTATCTGCGAAATGCAGGGCCCGCCGATTCCAGTCTGTTAGGGTTTTGGTTCTCTGCAATGCAAATCGCTAATGTGATCCAATCCAACTCAACAGTAATGGTTGAAGATTGTGGTAGGGTTCCTCTTCAAGTTTTTCTCTTCATTTTTGTTGCTTGATTTGGTTTCACTTCTCCCATTCGACTCTGTTTGTTTGGCAAAGATTTGCTGCTTTACATTGTGTGCTCGGCTTCTCAGAGCTTATTTCGCCATTTCCACATTTGCTTATCATAACAAATCAGGTAATACTTCCCTTCTCTTCTCTTCTCTTCTCTTCACTTCTTTACTGAAACCTCTCTCTCTGTGCTACTCTTGTTATTTATTTATTTATTTATCCTCTGGTTTCGACATTCCTTCACTTTAGGGCACAATCTGGGCAAATTCATTTGCAAATTCCAATCTTGTAATTTTTTTGTTTTTGTTTTTGTTTTTGTTTTTATTTTTGTTGATTAGAGAATTTAGTAACTTAGGCGAGCGAAGCGATGCGATGAAATGCTGGAAAGATTCTCAGAGCGAATACTCCTTCTCCTTCTCCTACTCCCTTTTGTAGGGATTCCTCCAATCCAAAGGAGAAAAGTGATCTGAGCGACAACAACGGCTTAAAGCTTCGGTTACAGCTTTAGTTTTTGGATTCATACACACCTTTCCTTTTCCAAGTTCCCGTTGGTTTATGGATTTCCAAGTCTGCGTTTAGTGATTCTGAAGCTTCCTTGGGAGGCTTCAGCTATAAGCCCAGTTCCAGTTTCTGTTACTTTCTTACCCCCCCGCCCTGGATCTGACTATCTCATTACTACATTTTGGGGGTTGACTTTTGTGGTTGTCTGTTTGGATCTACGGAGCTAGATTGATTTGCATTCTGCTGATTCTTAATACTTTCAAAGCATCCATGGGGCTTCTTCGACCAAGTCTCGTGATGCTTCTGGTTTTGATATGGTTCTTTTGGTTGCCACAACTCAGGGCTCAGTCGGCTGGGTCCACAAGGGCGGCCCTAGATGCACTTCTACAAGACTATGCTTATAGGGCTTTTGTTCACCCCAGGACTGGCATTCCCTTTGATGGGGTTGTGCCATCTAATCCTGGGATTAACATCTCAGCAATGAGGCTCAGGAGCGGTAGCTTAAGGAGTAGAGGTGTTGCAGCATACAAAGAGTTTAAGATTCCTATGGGTGTTGTTGTGCAGCCATATGTGGAGAGGTTAGTTCTGGTCTACCAAAACTTGGGCAATCGGTCTTCGATTTATTACGGTTTACCCAATTACACATATTTAGCTCCGGTATTGGGTCTTCTTGCTTACGATGCATCAAACTTATCGGCCAAAAATTTATCTGAATTGGATATTAGGGCATCTCGTCTACCCATATCAATCAAGTTTTCAAATGTAACATTGGTGCCCAATGGGTCAGTTGCGAAGTGTGTTTGGTTTGACTTACATGGTTTCGTGAATTATAGCGATGTTTCACCAGGCAATATATGTACAACCTTCCAACAGGGGCATTTCTCTATTGTTGTTGAGTCCACTGCAACACCAAGTGGTGGAGGAAAGAAGAACAACACTAAAGTCTGGATAATTGTCGGGTCGGTGCTCGGTGGTTTAGCATTGTTGGTTTTGTTGGGATTCCTGGCACTGTGGGTGCAGGGGTACAAGCGTCGGAAGAAAATGCAACAGATGGAAAAGGCTGCAGAAGTAGGGGAAGCACTACACATGACCATGGTTGGGAACACGAAAGCCCCAGCTGCGACGGTGACGCGAACACAACCAACCCTTGAGAGTGAATATGTGCCCTAGCTTGTGTCATGTTGTGGCACAACCAACCTTTGAGAGTGAATATGTGCCCTAGTTTGGGTCGTGTTGTGTACAAGCCGCCTTTGCTCATTCATATTCATGTTTATTCATGCATTAGATATTCTTCTGATTACACCTGTTTTTGTTGGTGTCTTCTTCCTTCCTTTGCTCATTTCTTTGATAGGCTCTTGGTTTTAGAGTGGGTAATATAGAGCTATTGTGTAAAAAATTCGGTGACCACTCACAAAACACTTTTGAAGGGTAGTTTCATGATTCATTGTGGTGTGGATGTAGGCTGTAGCCCAGAGTGATTTCTGTATGTCATGAATTTGCTGTGTCCCATTGACAAAGAATAAAAAGTTTCTGGATTGTTTTCAATGTTGGTATTATACTTTAGGATGAAAGCTCATTTGAGCAAAGTCTTGTCATTGTGGTTATGGTTGTTGATTCATAATGAACATAGTTTCAGTCTTATTTGCTGGTGTGAACAGCCTAAGGGTAGCGATGGGCTGCGATGGATAGGCTTCAAGTTGTTCATATCTAGCTGTGGTATGATGTAATAGTTCACACACAGCTGATATCTTAACTAATAGTCAAGTTTAAAATAATGAATCCATTGTTTAACCAAACATCGGATTAATAATTTTATTGAACTATTAGTCCAATCCCATGCTCATGTCCACCCAAACAAACATTGCCTAAGGGTAGCGATGGGCTGCGATGGATAGGCTTCAAGTTGTTCATATCTAGCTGTGGTATGATGTAATAGTTCACACACAGCTGATTGCACTACCCTCATCTCTTTTATTTATTATTTATTATTATTATTATTGTTTATAAAATAAGTTGGGTGGGAGGGATTGGAGCACTTGTGATACAATAATTTTCTGGATTGCTTGTTTGATGATGGGTGTTGGTGGGCACAGAGACTTTCCATCAATTTTAGTGATGGAAGTTTTGGAAAAACCATACAAAATGGACATGAGCAACAAAGAAAGCAGTCGGTAATTTTAAAGGGATTCCTCAAAACATTTTCTCCCAACACACATCTGGGTATCTGCCATTATGTTCAGCTCCTGTGCATATAATACTCACACACATACCTGCTGCCCTTGACAGAGATGTATCTGTACTCGTATATATTTATATATACACATGAATTCTCTTGATTATATATATATGATTAAACATGACTTTAAGCCGCTAATGGCAAAGGAATCCTTTCCCTTGTGAAGACATTTGATAACGACTCAACAACTGTCAAAAAATTATCATTTCTTTTTCTTTTTCCTTTTCTTTATAGTAGAAGTGCTATACAAGCTTGTCATGTGCCCCCACAGAGAAGAAAATATTGTAAATACGTGGCTCCAATATGCTAATAAACAAATGAATATATTTCCAGGGGTAAAAAAAATGAAAGAATACATAGTAAGAGCAAAACAATAATATAGACTAATCACTGAAAGGAACCTACTAGCCTATTTATCCATTAAATAATACAGATATTCTACTAAATTAAGAATAAATTAGGATATGAGAGCGAAGAGTTATTAGACAGAGACAAAGATTGGACTGTTCAATTTGGTCTTGTGCTTGCATCACATGACGTATTTTGTTTTTACAAGCAAGGCAAAACAAACAAAAGAGATTAAAAGAGGCTTCAAACAAGACCCTATGGACAGAGAAAAAATTGTTGTTGTGAGACCTAGAAAATTATCTCACAGGATTGTTGAAGAGATCTAATGAAGAGATGAGCTTGACCCTTTGCAGATCTACAAGGGTCAAGTTCATCTCTTCGTTGGATCTCTTCAACAATCCATATGAGAGAATTTTCTAGGTCTCATAGTTGTTTGTTTTGATTCTTCATCTTCCTCAAATGTTGATCTCTATTTAACCATTGATTCGATTGAAACATTTTACTCCGCCTCTGTTTGGGATTGGCTTTTTTGGGCTTTTTTGGCTAAAATAGCCACAAAAAACAAAATAGGCTATTTTAGTCACAAAAAACAAAACATCAAATCCAACCCATAATCATTACAATCCTCTCTCACAAAAAAAGCCAAAAAAGTCAAAAAGCTAAAAAGCCCTTCCCAAACTAGGCTAAAATAGCCCAGGCTAAAATAGCCAAAAAGCCAAAAAGTTAAAAAGCCAACCCACTTCCCAAACGGAGGCTGCTATTTTAGCCTGGTTTGGGAAGGACTTTTTGGCTTTTTGGCTTTTTTGACTTTTTTTGTGAGAGAGGATTGTAATGATTATGGGTTGGATTTGATGTTTTGTTTTTTGTGACTAAAATAGCCTATTTTGTTTTTTGTGGCTATTTTAGCCAAAAAAGCCCAAAAAAGCCAATCCCAAACAGAGGCGGAGTAAAATGTTTCAATCGAATCAATGGTTAAATAGAGATCAACATTTGAGGAAGATGAAGAATCAAAACAAACAACTATGAGACCTAGAAAATTCTCTCATATGGATTGTTGAAGAGATCCAACGAAGAGATGAACTTGACCCTTGTAGAAGATCTAAGGGTCAAGCTCATCTCTTCGTTAGATCTCTTCAACAATCCATGTGAGATAAATTTCTAAGTCTCATAGTTGTTTGTTTTGATTCTTCATCTTCCTCAAATGTTGATCTCTATTTAACCATTGATTGGATTGAAACATTTTACTCAGAATACATCAATGGATATGAAGTAAAATCTAGATGCTAGTTTTTTTTTTCCTAGTCTTTGGATGTTTAGGTTAAGACTAATCTGATTATGGTTCGGGTTTTGTGTTATGGAAAGTAACAAATGGGATGTTAGGACTACGAATTACAGCTCCATAGATAAAGAGAGAGGTAAGTCTGAAAAGATCATAGGTGTTGATCTGTATGCTGATGTAGATGATGACACGTTGTAGTGGGAAAAGTCAGACGAATGTCGCAGTGATGAGGAAGATGACAACTGATGAATATCAGAGAAAGCAGTGTATAGAGGAACAAACATACCACCAACTTACTGTACACAGTTAGAAGCAACATAAATGCTCATTTAAGAAGACTGGCAGGAAATAAAGAAATATATGCCTGCTGCCGAGGTGTGACGAAAGGGGGGGAGGGGGGCTAGGTCTGATATAGCTGCTGCTGGTGCTGGTGGCGACCTCGTCATTGTCGGTGGTGGTGGTGGTGGTGGTCCAGTGCTATCAGTGCCTACCCGGTTGTGCTGTTGACCATTTTAAGTATTTTCTCATTAAGTTCAATACTATTATTAATACCCCCATGAATTTTGAGAATAAAGAAGCTAGAGATATGGACACCAATCCAAGCAGTGGAGATGCTTTATCAAAATAGAATCCACCTTCATATTTTGACTATTACTATTATTATTATTAAGTTTTCAAGTTCACACACATTCAAGGCTGGTTATTACGCTATAGGAACCAACAAGACAAAGTACAAAGTCAGCATCATAAATGGGAACATAAGAATAATAACACTACAATACAATCTCACAAGTTAAGCTTGGGTTGGGTTGGGGGTTTGTCACTAGGAGGAGATGGTCACCTCTTATGTCAAAAAGATTAAAAAATTATGGATCTTGTATATGATTAGATCAAGTGGAACCAATATTGAAATGTTTGTATTTTTATATTTTAATTAGAGTATTATCCAAAAATTATTTACATTTGTAATGATAGAATTTGAGTGACTTGTAATTTTTCTTCAATTTCATGCGCAATTTGTTTTAGTACATTATATTTTTATAAAAGTGTTGTATGATATTTGAGTCACTATTTACAACGCTATATATGTGTGTGTGCGCGCATGCTCTATTTTGAGCTAAAATCTCAAAATAATAATAAAAACTTCACCAAGCATCCATTACATGTCTTCAAATTGTTTAATGTTATTTAATATATATTACTAAAAATGAAAATTTAAATAAAATAACTGAACTATAAAATGATTGATCAACCAGACACCTGGCCGATGGTTTTGTCGCCTAGGTGTTTTGATAACTATTAAGTTAAAAGTTGGCAGCATTCAAGTCAAACTGAAATATCGTGGAATGAAATAAATAAAATTTTCAGGACTCCCCGTCCCCACACAGCAAGCAAGAACAGACAGCATGGAACCAAAAGCTAACAAGTTTTTTCTAAACCAAATTCAGAATGTTTAACATCAAGAAGTAGACTTGTTGCAAAGCTTATGCAAATTCACACAACTAAGGAAAGAAAAATTAAGATTGAAGGCACCCTCTGCATACATTTGGCAAGGCCAGATCATCAGATTAGATGAGCAGTTTATTCTTCAATAGTCCACTGGCAAAACTTCCTACACCATTGCAGAACAACTCAATAAATTAACAAAATGATAAACTTGAATAAGCATGCACACATTTTGCATACAAGTAGGATTGTGCATAATATTTTGGAGGGGCGCGGTGGAGGGAACTGGGGTTCGAACCCGGACAACATGAATAGGGTGTGATGCCTCTAACCACCGAGGCAGCCCTTCAGTTCCATAAGCAAGCACGCACACACATACATATATGTGAGAAAGGAATAGGTTATTATTCCAAATACCCCGTGCTATGTGAGAAAGGAATAGGATTATCATTCCAAATACCCCGTGCTTCAAATGAGACAAGCTTCTAAGCAGAGGCATAAGATCCTTACCATGTTTGTAGCAAACCCAGATGTGCGGGTATGATTAAAAATAAATAAATAAATAAAAAGGCCCAAGTGATCAAATAACATGTATGGTCTAAGGTCCTCTCTCTTGGGAAGTAAGACCACACAGTGGCCATGAGTCTATGGCTATTAGTTACTGTTTACCACACGTGTAACCAAGCTAACATTAATTCAGAATATCAATGAAAGGGTGAGATGGACATCTCCAAAACCTCCCTGGGTAAAGGCAGATAAATTTTCTCCTTTTAAGATAAAAGTTGCAAACTGAATGATATCAACCATTGCACTGCCTTAATTCTAGAAGAGCACTATATTTTTGTACAAATGGAAATGGTGACCAATAATTCCCTTGAACAGCTCTGCAATACGCCATAAATATGCTCTGAATTGTAAGCAGCACCGAGTAGGCTTGTTAAGAAACAGAAGATAAGATGTTAAACACTAAACATATCTTTATATATGCTTGAACTACTTACAAAAGTGTCAACAACAAATCTTCAAACATTGGAAAAAGATGATAACACCTAAAAAACCCGGTAAACCAATAAGACAATGAGAAAAGACAATTTCACAACCAAATTGAGTTGCTATGCAGCAGAGAATCTGATTCCTTAAATGTTCAAAGAAGAGAAAGGCTAGACTTAAAATCATCTAAAATTAGAAGAATTTAGAGGTAGCATATACAGGCAATAGTATGGGATATATAATGACTGCTATGACAATTTGGGTCATCAAAAAGATTTAAAACTGCAAACATAAGATTATGATTTAAGTCGATGTGGACTCAAGAACAAAAGAACAGCTCAAGACAACCCAATACCAATGGGAGATTACGCTCATAAGCATCATTAAAGCCCACATTGAATGATCTTTTGTGCTTTCATATTCCATTGCAGAGGCATAAAAAAGGGCTTTAATTGAGTACGCGCTGTCTCAACCTTTTGAATCTTGGAAAGCCAAATTTGGGTTTAACAGGTTTTGCTCTTAGCAAACAGTCTGCAAGATGTTAACAACCACTATTTTATGCATTTATGAATTAGGCAAATAACTAGACAGAAAAGATATGCATTAACAACATTACATGGATGCCTCAAAGCATGTAAAAGACCCTGTTGGAAACAACATGAAAATGGGTATAGTCATGTGCCACACGTGCTTGTGGTTGGACACTCAACATGTGAGGTCTGCAGGGGTGGGGATTGCGAGGAGGGAAGGGAATGGGAGGGGGTAGCAGAAGAGGAGAGGTGGGGGGCAAATGAAGGAGCTGTAAAGAGGCTGAGAAGGGTGGGAGGAGCTAGAGGGTGTCAACCAGAGGTGGGAAGGGGCTAGGGAGTGGTGAGTGGAGCTACAAAAGGGTGGAAAGGGAACTGTGGTGGCTGCCAGAGATGGAGGCGACCAGAGCTAAGAGTGGTGGGGAGTTAAGACACTGGACTTCATATGATAGGTTATAAGAAAATAAAGAAGACTTTAACTTTATATATTAATAACATGATGATATATTCAAAATTGCTATGTCTAAATATACCAAGAAACAATTCCAAAATCTTTGAAAGATTTGAATTGGACCAGATACTTGCAGCTTTGAACCAACAACCAAAACTACCGGCCACAATGTTCATAATCACATAACCATAAAATAAAAACACAAGAAAACAAGCCTAACAAGCCTAACCCAACCATTAGCCATTAGATCATCAAATCTCACAACACAAGAAAACAAGCCTAACAAGCCTAACCCAACCATTAGCCATTAGATCATCAAATCTCACAACGGTCTTGTTCATGCCGGAAGTTTGTTTCTTCTGCAGTACCAGGGGAACCACCAAATGTGGGTTTATTCATAGATAAACATGAGAGAGTTGTATCCGGAAAAAAAAGAAAAAAAAAAGAAGAAGAAGTAGACATTTGTGAAGCACAGCCATTGAGATGAATGAAATTACTTTCAAGCAGATTGATTACTTGAAGAATCCTCCTCGCTCCCATTAATCAACTTCTCCTTCTCTGCAGCTAATCCAGCTTCATCTGTAACCAGCTGCTTCTTTTCACCCACGCTTTGAGCTCCCGTCAATCTTGCCAATATCACAAAGGACATTCCTCCAAGAACATTGTTCAAGCATCTAAGAACCACCACCGACGACTTAAACAATACAGGTGGAAACAAACTGGCTAGCAAAAACTCCACCCCATTCAAAGTTTGGTATCGCAAGTTACTGCTCACACCCATGTGGATTGCCCAGGTGGCTGCATTCAAAATGGTAGGCGGAGCCTTGTTAGGTGTCTCAAAATTGGGATCCATCTTCTTCCTCATCTTAATCAGTCCATTGGAGATGGCAGTTCCAACAAGTCCCGCAGCGAAACCCACAGCAGAAAAGAGTACACCTTTATAGACAAAAGTTCCAAGTCGACTGATAAGACCATAGGGTCCAGGTTCAAACATGTGGCTGGCGGGGCAACTGGCGAAAATGGAAGGGAGGGTTGGGGTGGAAACAGACATGGTGGGAGCCAAGAGATACATAAGAACAAAATTGAGAATGCAACCAACAACCAGAGTGGAGAAGACGAAGTCAAGCTCATTGAGACCGAAATTAGGGCGGGAGGCCATGTCCCCAATAACACAAGCGGTTACACCCACCAATTCCTCCATGAGAACCTTGAAAGGGAATTGGGGATCTGCGGCAACTCTAGATCTCCATCCATTCAGAAATGCCCCAATGGGTCCAACCCACGATGGCGATGAATCATCGGAATTTTCAGTTGAGTCCCAGCCACCGCTGCCGCCGCCACCGCCGCCAGTTCCCCGTCCAACGCCGTCGCTGCTATTGCCGCCAGCGGCACATGAAAAATGGAATTTTTTGGGGAGGAAGGGGGTTTGGGTGCGGAGAGGAGGCGTAGAGGGAGACGAAGAATGAGGGAAGGATACAAGTGAGGATGAGGGTGGTGATTGATCAGAAAGATGGCGATGATTTTGGATGAAGTGATTGTTGTAGTGCTTTGAGGAGATAGGAGGAAAGTTGCGTACCTGAGCTGCAGTCGCCATCTTTTTCTCCTGCTGCAATCTTCAATTAAAATCTAAAAAAAAAAAAAGGATGTATGTTACCCAAAACAAATCCTCCGGCTGCTGATTTAGGATGGCAAGTGTGATTGTGTAGGAGTGAGCGCGTAGAGCGAAAAAGAGAAGATGGAGAGAGAGAGAGAGAGAGAGAGAGAGAGAGAGGGGCGATTGAACAGAAGAATAGGCAAAATGGTGCATGGGGAAGAGAACGAAGGAGAAACAAAAACAAAGAAGAGGAAAAGAAAGTACCTTATTTGTTTAGTTTACAAGTGAAATGATGGGAAAGGGAGGGGGCTTCTTCCAGTTCCAGTTCCAGTTCCAGTTGTAGATCAGATCAGATCAGATCTAACCACCGTGATCTCTCTTCCTTTCTATATATATATATACAAGGGAAGAACTAGAAAAGATCCGTGAATATCCTATGGATGGGGATCGTGAAAAGAAGATTCAGAAAACCCTAATCGAAGGAGGGAGGCGGATTACGGAGCAAAGCCAAGCCAAGCAGCAACAGCACTTCAATTGTTCTTCGCGCGGCTTTATGGTCCATGCGGTGGGGAATCTTTATTTTATATATATAAATATATTACTATATGCACATATACATAGGTGCGCGTGCGTCGAGACATCCCTTTTGCACGACACTTGGCATCTCTTTTATAAACATTTTTATTTTTTTCCCAAAAAACCATTTTTGTTTGGAAGATGACCGATAGCTCGAAAAAAAGTAGCTTGATTTTAGTTTGAATCGTAAAACGAAATCGTTTTGTGATTGTGATTTTTTTTTTTTTTTTTCTTCTTTTTTTTCTTTCTTTCTTTTTTTCTTCTTCGTTGAACACAGAAGAAGAACAGAAGGGAAGAGGAGGAGAGACGGAGAAAGAGAGAGGAGAGGAGAGAAGGGCCCCTCCTGTGCCTCCGCCGCCACCGATCGTCGTAGCATCTCCGATCGTTGCAGCAGCTCCGATCGTCACAGCAGCAGCTCCGATCGTCGTAGCTCTGCGCAGTCCCGCCTCCGACCCCGCTTCCTCCAGCCCGATTTTGATGGCCCCCTCCCCTCCTGTTCTCCTCATTCCTCCATCTTCTTCTTCTTCTCTTCTTCTTCTTCTTCTCCGAATTCAAGCCAAATTCGAATCTCTGAATTCGAGTTACGAATCGGAGTCGTTTTTGTTTTGTTTTTCGTAAACTAACACTCTTGGATCATCAAAGCTGCATAGATAGTCAAAATCTAAGCCTAAATTTAAATTTGAAATAAATCTATAAAACTCAAATATTTTCTTAAATTTAAATGATTAACTTAAAATAAGTCAAATTTAAATAAAATAAACATCATGCAATTTTTATTTTCACAAATACTCCTATGTCACTCATATTTATATGGGAATTGATCACACAAAAACAAAAAAGAAAAAATGATTAGAAGGAAATTCGTTATAAGAGACTTACGTGTAAATTTTAATATGTGAACTTATTATTTAGTAAGTCTTATGAGAATTAATGACATTTTTCATCAAATATTATAAAAAAAAGTCACTAATTGTTAATTTTCAATGACAATTTGAAAATTGTCATAAAAAATGTCACTAATTATAACTTTTAGCGACGGTTTAAAAAAATCATCACAAAAAAATGTTATTAGTTTTTAATTTTCAGCGACAATGTGAAAAATTCATCACAGAAAAACATTGCTAATTGTAAGTTTTAGCGATTTATAAAAATCGGGACCAAAAAAAGTTATTAATTGTTAATTTTTAGGAATATATGCAGAAAGCGTTACAAAAAATTATTTTTAGCGACAATTTTATTAAGGCTTATTTTTAGTAGAATTTGATAGAAATTAAATCTAATTATTACGACCTTGCTAGTTTACCCATTATTTATTTGGAACTAATTAGAAAAGAAATTCATTTATTCTATTTGGGGTTGGTAAAATATTAAAATGTACAAAAAAAAATAAAAAAACAATTCCAATTTGGTTAAAAGTAATTGAATTGGAATTATCCTTAAACCAATTCCAAGTATTTCAAATATTTTTCAAACTATTTCTAATAGTAAATTCAATTCAATTTCAAAATATTGGATATTCTATTTTGAGAGAGAGAGAGAGAGAGAGAGAGTTTTGAGAGGAGTAGTGTTAGAGATTCTAAATAAATTACCAAATCAATGTGAAACTCACACACATGTGATTTGTATAGGTCCCACCTCCGTGTGAAAGGTTTGATAAAAAATTTCCATCCACTTATTTGAGTATAATGTTTGTTTTGAGTTTTCAAATTATAATTCAACGCCTATTTTTGAAAATTCCTTTCCAGACGGAAAAATTTGACTAACTCGAACATCTGGCCGGTTTTGCACAAAAGTCACTTTCAATAACTATAATCTTTGTAAATTCCCATGGCTCTGCTCTGGCTGGAGCTGGACAACAATGCCTCCAGAATGGCAAAAGTGCCTCAAAAGAAGTCTACTTGTATTGTAGCCTCCATAAACACCCCACCGCCGCATTGCTCAAACTCCAAGAACCTCCCCATGGCCTTCTCTCAACAACAGAGAGGCAGAAGAGCCATTCAAGATTCAAGAATTGGGAATATGGTCCTTGAAACTGCACTCTGCTGAGAGTTCAACACTCTTGCTTCTAGAGACTCGTCCCACAATGCAACAGAGCTTTGTTCACAATAGCTGGAGTCAAATAACATATCTTTCGAATTGGCATAATGAATTGGTACATACAAAATTTTAATTGACTAGTAAAACAAATACCTAGGCTTTGGCTTAGATTCACCCCCTCTTGACAAAAAAACATTTGTCAGCCTCTGATTTTTTCAGAAAGAGAGAAACTAAAGGTACCCAATAGTATCCAATTTATTTCACAAATAAGGATTCCTCCTTTCATTTCCTGCTACAAACTCAGTTCAATATCATCTTCTGTTCAATCCCAGTCAACATATATTGAGCAAGAAAACATAAACTCTTGCCTATTCTTCTTCAGACATGACCAGCAGCACAAAAAGAAATATATATAAAAATGATAATAACAAAAAGGTCAATCGACCAAAAAAATATACCCAAATGCCTTGGTATATTCAAATCAATCGATCCAAATCCAGGTCACAAATCATGTAACACCATACACCTACAAAATTCAATCCCTTTGCTTTAGGCCCTATGCTACATTACTAACAACATATTCCACGCTAGACAAGCCTACTAACACAAGAATAAATTCAATGGATAATGTTTACAAGAACTGATATCACCAAACCTAAATCCAACACCCAACCATATATAAGAAAACCTTTTCCTTTGTTTCGTTTTGTGTTTTCCTTTGTTGATTTCTGTTCAAAAATGAAAGCAAAATAAAAAGAAAACCCAACCCGAAAACTCACCACCAAAGACTGTTAGCCTTTTTCCCTTTTTTGGTAACCATGCAGAATTGACATATAATAATAGGATATGTATACTCAAGCATGACTCCATGAAGCAAAGAATAAAGACCATTTTGAACAGCAAGAGATATGAGGCCTTATCGCCCAGTTTTTGGACGTTTCATTCCACTAGTGTTGAAAGGCGAGACACTACCACTCGGCCCAGGACTCTCTTCTCTGAAATTGGAATTTAGCATAGCTAGCTCACGCAACTGCTGTCGCTTAATAAAATCCTGTGACTCATCCTGCACAAAGACCATGTATCATGTATGAAAAAATGAGAAGAAAAAAACTACAACACGCAAACCAGTAGATATAGCTACGGAACACACTGACTCTTCCTTAAGATGCATATGTGGGGGGGCAACTGTGTCAATTGAATTCATTGAAATCAGGTACTGACAGTAACTAAATGATTTTGTTGTCATATTAAAAAAATATCTTCCAAGGGAAAAGAGCTGAGATAATATGGCTCAGTTCAAAATATAGCATTTAGAACTGAATTCTGGTCTTTAAACATCCAAAGTGGCACTTATTAACTTCTCCAACTAAGGAATAGGCATCTACTTCCTTTCAGAATTACTACCTCAAACAACAAAATATTTGAAACAACGAACCCTGAATATGATATTAAGGCCCACATCAAGGTAATACATTATCCAATCTCCTTAAAATTTACTTCCAAATTCCTTATGGTAAATACTTGACGAGTAGAAGGGTCAACTTTGCAGGAACTTAACCGTGAATACTGCAGTGTTACCATCTCACATGTATACAAACCAGATTGTCTACCAAATGGATGGCAAGTAAATTTATGTCAGAGGACAGCAGGTGTGTGTGTGTGTCATTATCTTAGAAATTAGAAAATGAAATATTACATGGGATGTCCATAGAGAATGCAAGAGGAAGAACTAGGTTTGAGATAAATACCACTGGTTTGAGCAGTTCTTCGATGATCTCCTGTGCCTGTCTTAGCCTTATATCAACAATATTGGCTGGTAAATCACCCTCAATCAAGATATGGAGTGGCTCATTAAGGTGTTCATATCCTGGTCTTCCTCGTAGCTTCTCTTCCTTGAGATTGCAAAGCATAAAAACACAATTAAGCTCACATGTTGCAACCAATATCAATTAAAAATAAACTAGAAAGAATTTACAACCGATTCACTTTGATATCATGTTCCCTTCTCCAGTAGATTCTAGCTGAGCCATCATCAGGAAATAGTACAATAATAAAACCAAACCAAACCAAGCCTTAAGTCCCATCAAATGGGGTCGGCTACATGAATCCGTCTTCTCCACAATAAAACCAAAAGAAAAAGAAATAAAATATATGTATTACCTTGTCTGGGTCCTTTATTGATCCCTTTCCCCTAATGTATACACGGCATCCTGTAGTAGCTTCCACCCGTTTTAGTGAATTGCCCCTAGGGCCTAGAAGTCGCCCAACAAAATTGAACTACAACCATGGATAAGTCAATAGCTCAGTAACCATTCATTCAACAACGCAAGCCTTCTGTTTTCATACAATGAAACATGATTCTATGCTTATGTTATAAACTAGAAGCTTACATTTGGATAAGTATCCACTGGAATTTCTAAGCGCAAAATCCTCTTCACTGTGTATGAACTAGGACTTGCAGGCGCCCCTTGCCAGTCCATCGTCATCCCAGGGGGTCCACTTAATCTCTGTAATATAATCAAAAGTCGCCAAATATTTAGTATTCTTTTGTCTTTCAGTAAGGTAACGAAACAAAAATAGCGGGGGAAGACCTTAGATGCAGGAGGAACAGATGGTGATCAAAACTTGGGTAGCAAGTAGAATAACATAAAGAAACAAAATTGGATGCAACATTAACAAATGAATGGACGAGACTCCATTTGCATCATTTGGCGCATGCTCTTTGTACAGCCAAATCCAGTTTGCGATAATTTCTGGGTCCAGGTCCAAAACCACCTTACGTTGCTTATCAGGAATACTGAAAGAATTGGCGATTTACTGCTACTGTTTGTTACTTGCCGTACTATGAGTGAGCTTGCTCACTTGCCTTGCTTAAGAAGTCTTTGGAAATAAAGATCAATCATGCATACATTTTGCAAACTGTCTCCTTTCGGTTTATCAGGGGGACTTTAAAAGGTGTTGAGTCAAGTATAAAGACATGAAAACCCCAACACAAAATTGTTTACCAGTTTGATAGATAAAAGCTCATTTTAACATATCTCATCTAATGCTTAGACTTTCCCTGAAGCTATCAAATGCATCTACAGCACCATGTCATTTCAATTTAAAAAAAGAAAGAAAAGGGCAGTACAACTGTGATGAACACTGCCAAACAGAAAAAAGATTGATGCAACTTCGTTATAGTCAAAGAATTACCTGCCAAGACCGATTTGCTTGCCTAAAGTTTTCCCTTTTCTTCATTCCTAATGAACAATCAATTTTAACTTTGCTTTTAAATATTTTTTTCAATGGACGAAAAACTATGAACTTCTGCAGATTTATTCTACAAGGAATTGGAAAAAAAATATGCAAAAAATCATTACTAAAAAAATACAATTATGGAATATATATCTGATTCCAAGAGTTACTTCTCACAGAAGTAGTAGACAACTAGAGTATAAAAGAAAGTAGGTAAATAGGTAAATAATGACATACAATCACAACTACTGCACACACATGTGCGCGCGCGCCAAAAAAAAAAAAAAAAAAAAAAAAAAAAAAAAAAAAAAATGAAGCTAAGGCAGTGAAGCCAGAAATTTTTGTTTGCATTATTATGTTATGCTCGCAGCAAAAGCTTTCGATATCATCAGCCATGTTCCAACCCCACATTATACAATATTGTCTAACTTTACATGACTTAAAAAACGTGTTTCACAATAAAGGTCCACATATCTCACCCTAAGTCACTTTGACACTTACTTCATTAGGCAATGTGGGACTAGGTACTCTTGTATCTTGTCCATATGAGCTAACCATCCCAACAATCACCCCCTTCCGCACAAGTGGGATGGATGGAATGTTAAGTCTGCTACTCGGTCTTCTGCAAGTTCACCAAAGAGAACCAGCGTTGGTCTTCATTGCTCGTCAATCCACCTTATTCAACCCAGTATTGCCCAGACCCTCTTTGATTGAGTTAACTACACCCCCTAGCCAGGGGTGCCTTGCAAAGAAGTCCACCATAATCAAGCCGGTATGGCCTGCACTCTGTTTACCAAGTTGACTGCACTCTCTTTACCAAGGTTTCCACACCCCCTCACATGGGAAGCCCTCAAAGTATACCACTTTTGTGAACATCTCACATGTAACTGCAGGGACCATCTTCACTAGCAACTTTTATCCAATTACATTAACCTGTGGACAATATGAACCCACATTGCACTGCCAACCTGTGGAAAGTTTACCATTTTTTTTTTTTCAGTTCACACCAGCTTGTATCCAGTCTTTCCCCTCCAACAGGTAGTGTCCTTTTGTCCTTTTTTCTTTGGTTGCTTGGATCCTGAGCAACTAATATTCAAGTCTACGTTGGAAGGGTCGCATGTTAGGCATGAACTAGCAATTGAAAACAGTTTCCAACACAGAACCAGTTGCAAAGGATATCCTGGTTACATTAATTTTAAGTTTTTAACATAAATCAGCTCGAAGATCAAACTAGCTACCTAATTTCCATCCACAAAACATCAAATGCATGACTTCAATCTGTTCTGTCCTGCATACCAGCAACTACTGAGAAGTTATGATGTCACATCCCATTGTCACGGACTTGGTTGTTTCCAAGCTAACCGTGCGGCACTTAGACAATCTCAAGTCTCACTTGAGGATGCTGAGTCAGCCTAACTCACACACTTGTAGGAAAGAGAAGTTTAGAAGAACACAAGAGAGTTTGAGAGAATGCTTTTGTATTCACACTTGAGAGAAAGCTTACAACGGTTGGTGGTTTGGGCAAATGAGGCCCTCCCCCTTTTATAGGCTACAATGAACATTTTAGAACAAAAAGGATGGAGAGTGTTCTAGACACTTCCTCCTACTACATCTAGTAGACTATTCTAGAATACACAAGTATTATGTACAAGGTTCTAGAGTTATATACAATGCTCTACAACACTCTAGGGAGTTCTAGAATCTTCCAGAAATCTCCAGAGCCTCCTAGGTCTTCCTTAGTGAGGGATAGCTTCAGATTTTGCCTGTCTGTGACATTCTTCCCCACCTAATGCAGCGACGTCCTCGTCGCGTCTTCTTCATGGAACCGTTGTATCTTGTCTTTGAATTGCCACAATGCCTCCGCCGGTTCCCAACTTGCTTCACAATCAGGCAAGCCCTTCCATTTTACCAAGTACTCATGACGTGGGGCATAGTTTTGTCTTCGGACTATCCGGTCTGCCAAGACGGACTCTACCTCCTTGTCATAAGTTGCTTTAATGCCCAATGGTGCCCTCTTTGACTTGCCTCTATTTGGGTCTTCCTCGTCTTTGTAATAGGGCTTTAAGCAGCTCACATGGAAGACTGGGTGAAGCTTGAGATTTGGGGGTAAGTCAAGTTTGTAAGCAACCTTACCCACCTTCTTGATTATAGGATACGGTCTGTCATAGCGGCGAACAAGCCCCTTGTGTAGGCCTCGGGTGAACTTGTTTTGGCTAGACAAGATCTTCACCATCACTAAGTCACCAATGTTGAACTCTTGATGCCGCCTCTTCTCATCCGCCCACTTATTCATCTTCTTGGTTGCCTTGTCGAGGTAGGACCGTGCCACATCTACTTGTTCATTCCATGACTTAGCAACCTTGTAGGCCGATGGACTCCTTGCTGAGTTGGTCTCCAAAGAGTGTGGAGTGAGGGGTTGTTGCCCTGTTGCTAGCTCGAACGGACTCCGGTTAGTTGCCTCACTCCTTTGTAGATTGTAGGAAAATTGAACTATGTCAAGCAACTTAGCCCAATCATGTTGGTTGGCATTCACAAAATGCCTTAAGTATAGCTCCAATAATGCATTCACCCTCTCAGTTTGTCCATCCGTTTGAGGGTGGAAGCTAGTAGAGAAATGGAGTGCCGATCCCATTAGTTTGAATAACTCTGTCCAAAACTTGCCTGTGAACCTTGGGTCTCGGTCACTGATGATGGACTGTGGCAAGCCCCAATACTTCACCACATGTTTGAAGAATAGCTTGGCTGTCTCCTCAGCGAAACATTCATTGGGTGCAGCTATGAATGTTGCATACTTGGAGAAGCGGTCTACCACCACTAGAATACTCTTGCACCCGTCAAATTTGGGTAATGCCACTATGAAGTCCATGCTAATGCTTTCCCATGGTTGGCTAGGTATGGGGAGCGGCTCCAATAATCCTGCTGGGCTTTGATTCTCCACCTTGTCTTGTTGGCACACAAAACAAGTCTTCACATATTGTTCTACCGCATCCCGCATTTGTGGCCAATAATAGCTTGATTCTAACAACGCTCGAGTACGTTTCTGTCCTGGGTGGCTAGCCCATTGGGTGTCATGGCATTCCTTGATAAGGTTCCTTCGTAGGTTTCCCCACTTTGGAACATAAACCCGTCGCCCCTTTGTATAAAGGATGCCATCTTCTTCCCAAAACCGCTTCGTCTTGCTTTCTTTGGCCATTGCTATCAAGCTCTTGGCCAAGGGGTCATGCTCCATGCCTTCCTTGATTAGAGTTAGCAACTCCCCTGTCAGCTTCACAATAGCAGTTAGCTCAGCCTTCCTGCTCAATGCATCTGCTACAAGGTTGGCCTTTTCAGGCTTGTACTCTAGGACATAGTCAAATTCTGCCAAGAAGTCTTGCCATCTAGCTTGCTTTGGGCTCAACTTCTTCTGGGATTGGAAGTAGCTAGTGGCAACATTATCTGTCTTGACTATGAACTTGGAGCCCAATAGGTAGTGCCTCCATGTGCGCAAGCAATGGATGATAGCCGTCATCTCCTTCTCTTGCCCCGTGTACCTCCGTTCAGTGTCATTAAGCTTGCGACTTTCGTAGGCAATAGGATGTCCATCCTGCATGAGCACGCCTCCAATGGCAAAGTCAGAAGCATCAGTGTGCACTTCATAAGGCTTGGTGTGGTTTGGTAGCCCCAATACTGGCTCTTCTGTCACTGCCTTCTTTAAGGCCTCGTTTGGGAACAGGCTAATTTAGTAACTTTTTGGCTATTTGGCTAAAAAAGTAGGTAAAAAAAACTTATATGTTTGGGATATATCCCTTCATGAACCGCCGATAATAATTGACAAGGCCAAGGAATGACCTTAGCTCTGTCACTTTGGTGTGCCTCCCATTCTTGTATAGCCCGCACCTTGTCTTCTTCCGTCATGAGCATCCCATCCTTAATCTTGTGCCCCAAAAATGATACCTCATTCGTTGCAAAGGAGCACTTCTCCTTCTTCACATAGAGCTTATTTTCTTTCAATACTTTGAACACCGTTCGTAGGTGATCTACATGGTCCTCTAAGGTATTGTTATAGACCACGATGTCATCCAAGTAGACCACTACGAAACGGTCCAAGTAAGGATGAAAGACCTTGTTCATGAGAGTGCAAAATGTGGCTGGGGCATTGGTGAGGCCAAATGGCATCACTAAGAACTCAAATGAGCCATATCTAGTGCAAGTAGTTTTTGGCTCATCCCCAGCAGCTATCCTTACTTGGTAGTAGCCAGATCTTAAGTCTAGTTTAGTGAAGTATCGAGCTCTTCCAAGTTGATCAAACAAGTCAGCAATTAAAGGAATAGGATACTTGTTCTTGATAGTTACCTTGTTAAGCACCCGATAATCGATGCATAGATGAAGAGAACCATCTTTCTTCTTTTGGAATAGCACCGGAGCACCATAGGGAGCTTTGGATGGTTGTATGTAGCCAGCATCCAACAAGTCTTTTAGTTGCCTCCTGAGTTCCTCCAACTCTGGTGGTGCCATCCTGTAAGGCGCTTTGGCGGGTGGTGTTGTGCCTGGCTCCAGCTCGATCTTATGATCCACCTCCCTCCTAGGTGGTAGTTTCTTTGGTAGCTGGGGCGGCATCACTTCTTTGCACTCATGGAGTACCATTTCTATCTCCTTGGGTATGGACCCCTTTGGCACATCCTCCTTTTCCTCTGCCATGGTTGCAAGGTAGGTTGCTTCTTCCTTCTTGAACCCTTTCTTTATTTGCATGGCTGAGAGCATTGGGGTCTTGAACCCTTTTCTAGCTATAGTCTGCACTACACATGGTGCTTTTTCTTCCAAAATGGCCACAGAGCGTAGAAATGGTAGTGGGACTGCCTTGACCTTCTCCAAGAAATCCATGCCAATGACAACTTTGAAGTCATCCATGGGTGCTACTGTAAGGTCAATCTTGCCACTCAATGTGCCAATGCCGATGTCCACTCCACATGCCACTCCATGTAGGGGCCTAGCCTCCGAATTGACTGCTTTGAGCCAACCTGATCCTTGGTGGCTTTGAGTTCTAGCCTTTTTGCCTCATCCACAGAGACAAAGTTGTGCGTAGCTCCAGTGTCCACCATAGCATGAGTGGTCTTCCCATTGAGGCACACTTCTACATATATTAGACCCTTATCCCCTTGGGTCGGTGTAGCTGGCTTCTACTTGATGGCATTGAGAAGTTGTAGAGATTCCATGTAGGGAGTTTCCTCTTTCTCTCGCTCTTCGATCATGGCATTGAGGGCTTGTCTCTTGGGACAATCTCTTGCCCAATGTGGCCCATCGCATAAGAAGCAGTTGGTCTTGGGCTTGAACTTGCCTTTGTCCTTGAATTGATACTTGGCTTTGTCTTTCCCCTCTTTGCCAGTAAGGGGTTTGTTGTGCCCCTCCTTTCGTTGGAATCCCTTGTCCTTATCTCCCCCACCTTTATGATAGCTATCCTTGGATGTCTTGGCCTTGTTATCTATCCTTTTATACTCAATGAGGGACTCTGCTACTGCCATAGCCGAGGCAAGATCCTGCACTCCGCGGCGACGCAGTTCTTGCTCCGTTCCAACCTTCTGGCCTCTTCCATAAAGACAAAGTTGTGTGTAGCTCCCGTGTCCACCATTGCACGAGTAGGCTTCCCGTTAAGGCACACCTCCACATACGTCAAGCTCTTGTCACCTTGGGTAGATGTTGCATGCTTTAATTTGATGGCATTGAGTAGTTGTAGGGATCCCATGTGGGAAGTCTCCTCTTTTTCCCGTTATTCTATCATGGCATTGAAAGCTTGTCTCCTAGGACACTCTCTTGCCCTATGTGGTCCATCATAAGAAGCAGTTGGTCTTGGGCTTGAACTTGCCTCTGTCCTTGAATTGATACTTGGCTTTGTCTTTCCCCTCTTTGCCAGTAGGGGGTTTGTTGTGCCCCTCTTTCCGTTGGAACCCCTTGTCCTTATCTCCCCCACCTTTATGATAGCTATCCTTGGATGTCTTGGCCTTGTTATCTATCCTTTTATACTCAATGAGGGACTCTGCTATTGCCATAGCCGAGGCAAGATCCTGCACTTCGCGGCGATGCAGTTCTTGCTCCGTCCATGGTTGTAGGTTGTCCAAGAAGTTGAAGAGTAGTTCTTCATCAGTCATACTCGGGACTTCAAGCATGAGAGTAGAGAATTCTTTTTCATAGTCCCGAATAGACTATGTGTGCTTAAGCTTCTTCAAGCTCTTTCTGGCTTGATAGGCCACATCCTCAGGATAGAATTGTTTCTTAAGTTCTTTCTTAAAATCATCCCAAGTAGCTATAGTGCACGTACCTCTTTCAATGTCAGCATGCCTCCTACGCCACCATAGTGTTGCTGTGTCGGTGAGATAAAGGACTGCAGTCCGTACTTTGGCATCTTCTTCGGTTACCGCCATTGCTTCGAAGTACCTTTCCATGTGCCACAAGTAGTTGTCCACCTCTTTGGCATCCCTCTTTCCATCAAAGGGTTTTGGCTTCGGCACCTCCACCTTGGACGTCCCCGGCAAAGTCACAGCTCCCCCAGCTATGGCCTTCTTGCACATCGCCACGTCTTGGTGCACCTCTTCCAAGCGGGCTTCAAACTGTGCGAGCATCTCCAATACCTTGGCTTGAAAGGAGTCATTGGCCACTTGTGCATCATGTACCACAGAGTTGATGGTGGAAAGCATGCCATCGTGGAGTTCCTTGATCTCCCCCTTGAGACCCTCCACCTCTTGTTCAAGGCTTTGCTCCAACACATCAAGACGCTCCCCCGAGTCCCCCACGGCTAGCTCCACCTTGGCAAGCCGTGCATCCATGGTAGTCATAGCATCTCGTGACTTGTCCTTCTTCCTTTCGCGGGTTCCCTTCCACGGGCTTGCTCCAGCACAGTCTCCTCTACACCGGATGACATTGTTGACTTCTCTTCCTTGTCTTGAACCTGCTCTGATACCAACTGTCACAGACTTGGTTGTTTCCAAGCTAACCGTGCGGCACTTAGACAATCTCAAGTCTCACTTGAGGATGCTAAATCAGCCTAACTCACACACTTGTAGGAAAGAGAAGTTTAGAAGAACACAAGAGAGTTTGAGAGAATGCTTTTGTATTCACACTTGAGAGAAAGCTTACAACACTTGGTGGTTTGGGCAAATGAGGCCCTCCCCCTTTTATAGGCTACAATGAACATTCTAGAACAAAAAGAATGGAGAGTGTTCTAGACACTTCCTCCTACTACATCTAGTAGACTATTCTAGAATACACAAGTATTATGTACAAGGTTCTAGAGTTATATACAATGCTCTACAAGACTCTAGGGAGTTCTAGAATCTTCCAGAAATCTCCAGAGCCTCTCAGGTCTTCCTTAGTGAGGGATAGCTTCAGATTTTGCCTGTCTGTGACACCATGATCTAGAGAGATTGGCTCTTATCAAAGGGTTGTCCTTTAACATTTCATTCATCATCTTCCTTTTGCGTGATACCATAAAACAAAATCTCTACCAAACTTGCCAATATTGAGTAACATGCATCAATTAGTAATTTTGCAATTCCCCTTCCACACTAAATTAAATGTAACAAATATATCTCAACAAATTAGCATATTCATGATTTCATGAACATTAACACTATTTCAGACATCTTCAGTAATTGAGTCCTAATCTTACCCTGATGGCTTTAACAAATAAAACCATCGAAAAACAATTTTCTTCAGTAGACAACAGAAACCAAAAAGCAATATTGCAACACATCATGATTAGGAATTATCAACTTTAGATTACGCTCGAATTTGAGTTAAAAACATTAGTTTAACATGCATACTTACACCATCTATTAGAAAATGTAATAAAAGTTCACATTAATTTATCTAAAGTCAATTGTGGTTTGCATTTTTTTATAATCAATAATGTGATTTCGCCTGACAGCTTGCAACAATGAGTCAGCGATTATTCCACAAGTTGCCTACCACTTAGATAAGGGAAAACACAAAACACAATAGGGGGAGTTGGGGTTAAAACCATAAATCCAAAACAGCAAACAAAAACAACAAAAGGAAAAAAACACAAAACAAAACAAAACAAAACACAAAACACACACACCAAAAAAAAAAAAAAAAAACAAAAACCAGCAATATTAAAAAAAAACAAAAACCAGCATCCTGATCCCATGAGTCAATTTAAGTTCAGAAGCCAGGCCAGCTATGGGTACGATTACAAAGACAAACCAATTAACATTGACAATACAAGTTATTCACCTTATCACACTAACGTCATCTAGGTAGGTATGATCATCTAGGTAGGTATGATCAGATATTGCACATCTGTAAGTGGTATGTAGAGCTATAAAATTGTATATGGCAAACAAAAATAAAAAGTTACACAAACAAAATAAAATTAAAATTAAAATAAAAGATGAAATGACAGACAGAAAATGATGCTAAAGTAAAACTGAGGAGACCAATTACCTCCTGAGGAAGGCCATTCCAGCCACCTAATCCTGTCCCTGAAACATTTGACATAAGGTTCGAAGAAGCCATGGGACTGGGGCTTCTATGCCTCAATCTATCAAGTTCACCAAAACCTTGATTAGGCATCATCCCTGACACCCGTAAAATCTCTGAAAATATAAAAGAGCAATAGATATGTAAGATGCTAACCTCCACTGTCAGTATAAAAATCAAAACACCAACATGTGATTAAAGCAGGAAGCATACAGCTAAAAGATTGGAAAAGATTGGAAAAGATTTGTAAGCCAATTGAAGGTGGTGATTTGGGCATCCTTCTATGGTTCAAGCTCACCACAGCACTAGTCAGATATCCTTTAGCATACAGGTCATAGAATATTAATTAAAACCCAAAACAACCAAATCAATAAATACTATGTCCAGCTACACAAACAGAATCTTTATTCATAAAGCTCTACCAGTTTCCACACCAGCTTTTGAGTTCACAAATGCTTCATATTTTAAAAGACACTGAAGCCCAAAAGTGTTTTAAAGTCTATAGTGATACAAATCAAGCAACTTTAAGCACCATTTCACACATGAAATAAACAATTTACAAACAAAAACTAATTTTGATTTATAATCACACAATGTACGATATTATTATGCTTTTTCATTCACATTCTAAAAAAATAAAATTCCACATTGCCATGAAGCTCAGGTCTGAACTTAAAGAGGATTTGTAGGTCATTAACACTGTGTTTGGTTGGGAGATTTGGGAAGGAATTCGGAAACAGAAGGGAAAAAGGTATGTGAAACTAAATGTAAGTATATTTTATTCATATTTCACCTACCTTTTCTTTTTTCTTTTCCAAATTCCTTTCTAAATCTTCCAACCAAACACAGCGTAAGTGGTTCAAAAATCCTTGCCTTGCTGTGTTTTATACATATCCATTCACAAACTGAAGTAAAGGTTGCCAAAGCTCACATAAAAAAAACAATTACACTTTGATAAGACAATTAAGTGTTATCAGATCAGTCTGTATATCCGTATAAGAATATTCAAACATATAGCAGTCCCATGAAAATTGAAAAAATCAGTTGTGCTTCACGTAGCAGCGAGAAATTAATTTCCATTTTTACAGCATTCTTTTAGACCCACGAACTCTTCTTCAGACCAATTTGAACAAAGGACCTCTCTACTACTAGGCCTTCGGAGATTATATAGGTGACCCACATTGTACCATAACTACTTGAGTGTCTAAGATGCTGTGCTAAACACAATTGAGTGATTTCTCTGCCATGGGCAGTCCAATTGCCCCTTGGAAAAATCAAAATCAAATGTGTCAAGTCTCTTCTTGACCCTGTCCTTGAAGGAAGAATTGAATGTAACAAATATATCTGGAGAAAGAAATGAATAGAAGAATGCATGAAGCATGACCAAGGCCCAAGAACAGGATAAGAGAATCAAGAAAGCAAGCATGGTTCATGAAAGTAAACCCTTTTGAGTGGGATCTAAAAAAGAGTCTTGTGTGTGCCTAAGTAATACAGTTAAAACCCATAAAAATAATTTTTTTTTTAAAAAAAAACCTAGATCCAAAACGCAGAAATGATGAGCCCAGTATGGAAACTAACCTTGATTCAAGAGTCTGCTACATACCGGAAGGACCTGCATGAAGGGTGCAATCTTCTGATGCTCTCCCAACAGCTCCGACAAGTAGTGATTACTGCACATGAATTGAAACAAAATTTGAATGAAACCCACCACCACATCGATCAAAAACAGGGAAGGATTGACGGGAGCGAAAAAGAAAATCCAGAATAAAATTGAAGAGCGGACCTGTCGACATCTGGGGTACTTCTAATCTGAGGAGAAACAGGTCTTGCAGGTGAGAAGTTAGGATTATAGAGACCTGACATTGATTATCGAAGAGACCACTAATAATCAATGGAATGTTAAAAGATGGTTTAGTTGCAGGAGAGAGGGAGAGAGATGGAGATAACATGAGAAGATGAAGAAGAAGAAGAAAAACAAAAAAAAAAGGTCGAAGCCTGAAAGGTCTGTGAATTTTTTGCAGGGAGGAATTTTTTTTTTACTAATTCAACTCTTTAATTTTATATTCCTTTATAATCTATCAATAAATTTAAAAAAAAAAAAATTAAGTTACTTAATATTAAATTGAAAAAATTCGATTTAGATAAATTTTATCTGATTCAAAGAAATTTTAAATTTCTCTGTGATCATACAAAAAAAATTTCAAACTTTCTTTGTAAAATTAGATAAATTTATTTGAATCAGGACCGAAATTTCTTTAAGTCGAACGAAATTTTTTTATGAAAATGTTGAAAGACATTAGTTAATTAAAAAAATTAAAAAATATATCTTTCACCTCTACTACACAACATTAGAGAGGGATGTTTCACTCATTTTCTCATAAATTTACGGTGAAGTACCTATAAATTCTAAAATGTGATATTGTAAATTGTTTAATTTTAATTTTTTATTATGAAACTAAAGTTCTCATTAAAGTATAAACTATACAAAGAGAGAGTCATTTACACATTTTGATTTAATTTTTGAAGAATAAATGTGAGTTTTTCTAAATGTGAAATTACACACTTGGGCATTTCACTTTGAATTTTTCCTCCTTCGGTAACAAATCCCACATTATGAACAAATATGGGACACTCCAATGTAATATTTAAATAACGTAACACTTTAATATAATACACTAAAAATTTCTTAGTGTATTTTTCTTAAACGTAACAATATAACACTTCAAAAAAATGTTCTTAATGTACTTTTTCCAAACGTAATACTTCAATGTAATATACAAAAAAATTTCTTAGCATATTTTTTTTCCAAATGTAACACTCCACTTAATATAATCTTAAATATAACACTCCAATATAACATAATCTAATGTAACACGCAAAAATACTAAAAAAAACTTATTAGTGTACTTTTTTCAAACATAACAATCATAGTTTAAAATTATACATAATTTTTGTATTCCTTTTGGAATGGTTTGAAGAATCACACATCTTCTTTTCGGAGTATTACATTAGAGTGTTACGTTTGGAAAAAGTATATTAAGAAGTTTTTTTGTGTGTAACATTAGAGTATTACACTAAGGAATTTTTTTGAGATGCTATATTAGAGTGTTACATTTAGAAAAAAATATGTTAAAGAATTTTTTTGAGTGTTACATTGAAGTGTTACAGTTTAAAATTATACATTTGTCCAAAACTTAGCAAGGAGTTTTTGTACTCAGTTTGAAGAATCCCATATCATTTTAAAATGTTTAAAGAATCTCACATTTTAAGTCATTCTTATACTTATTTTGAAATGTTTTACAAATAAAAAAAGATTTTCATATAAAAATTCATCATAAATTTGATTCTCATAGATTGTGCATCATACCTTTCTAACACAAAATAAAAGGAGAAAATAAAAAAATAAAAAAATAAACATAATAGAAATAGGAGTATGATCGTAAATCTAATTTCCAAATAATAGTATATTAAATCTATTTTTTCAAAATCAATAGATTAATTGGTTTATAAAAAAAATCTTGGAACTAAACGGATCACTATTTATTAAGATTGGATTTATGGGTAAATTTTTCTAAATTTATTAGAAAAATAAATAATAATTTTATGATAATTTACACTAATTTCTTTTACAATTTAAAATAAATAAATAACTACACCGGCCTCGTTTGAAAATAAGTTTTTTTAGTAATTTTTTGACTTTTTAACTAAAATATAATGTAAAAAAATTAGTATATTTGGGATGACTTTTTAATTTTTTATGAAAATATATGTAAAAAGTAAAGAGAAAAGAAAATTTTTGACTTTTTGGTATAGGTTGTTTGGTTTTTTGATTTTTTTAGTGACTTTTTAATTTTTTTGACTAAAAAAGTCACTTGTCAAACGAGGCCTGAACTTTATAAATTTTACCATAATTACTCTATGCAGGGGCAGAGGCACACCAGGGCCAGGAGGGTCACGTGCCCCCTTTAGTTCTGATTTTTTTTTTTTTTTTGTTATTGTCATGTTTAAAATGTATTTTTTTTTTCTTAACACGTTCTTTTGCTAAGGGTTTATTGTGTTGTTCACAACAAGTAGTTGTTTAATACTTTGGGAACACTATGTGGTATTATTTATGTAGTAGTTTAAATCAATAGTGTAGCGTAAAATATTATAAATTGGATATAATGAACTCATTATTTTCAAGTAGTTGACATATCACTTAGTGTGATTTATAATTTTCTATGCTTTGAGCATCACGTAGGCAACATCATATGGTACTCTAAGGCTGTTTAATAATTTTCATTCAAAACACATCATTTATAAGTAATGTTATTTCTTTAATATTTTTCTGTCAAATAAAAATTAAATAGATTTTATAATAATTTGTGCTATAAATAATGTGTTTTTATTTTTTAAAATTAGGAATTATAATAATTTGTGCTATAAATAATGTGTTTTTATTTTTTAAAATTAGGAATTTTGATCCATAATTTTGTGCTAAAATTGCAAACTTACATCATCATTTCACACCAAGCTATTTCACACTATTATAGAATTTTGATTTGTTCTTATTAATAATGAATATGTAATTTTTTATGTTTAAATTTATCTCATAAAATTATTATTATGCTCATAATTTTTTTTAAATAAAAAATTATAATTAATAAGTATCCCCCTCTAACTTAATTTCCTGACTCCATCACTAACTCTATGTTCTCTAATATTTTAATTTTCACAATATTTTCTTGGAAAAATATTAAATAAGTCTTATTATTCCAATGAAATTTGCATTGAGTTCTATTAACACCAAATTGAGAGAGTTGATTCATGCGTTTATAGGATTTAATGAAAATTACATTAGAAAAGTAAGACTTATTTGATATTTTTCGTATTTTGTTACATTTTTGTCGCTTTGTTCCGTTTTCATCAATCATTGTTAACAGTATGGATTAAAAATAAGAGTAATGCTAGAGGTTCTAAATAATTTATCAAATATCTCACATGGGTGTGAGACTCACACACATGTGGATTTGTGTAAGTCTCACACCTATGTGAAAGGTTTAGTAAAACATTTAATAAAGAAAAATGCGGTAGACCCCCACCTCCCAGTGACCCAGCTGCATGTGGTTGTGGGTGATTGGAAGGAAAGAAAAAAAAAAAAAAATTGACCAATGAAAAAAAAACTGGGGGTGCTGGAGTGCCCCCACTAGAGGTCTCTAACACCGTTGTTTAATAAATTATTTGAGATTTCTAGTATTTTTTCAAAAACGATGCTAACATCTATTATATACTAAAATATATTTTTTATTTTCGATTATTTTTGTGTCTATTTCGGTCACTTTAGCAATGTTAAAAGATAAATCAAATGTAAACATGTAAACTTTTAGGGTTTATTATATTTTTTAAAACTTTAGGATCAACAATCTAATTTATCCGAAAATCTAGTAATTGCAAATGGGTAAGTGATAATTCACTTGCATTGGAACACATTCAGTTTGTTTGGTTTTGATTTTTAAAAAATAGTTTTTAAAAAAATTTACTTTTTTATTTCTGTATTTTATATTTTCAATGAATTTTTTAATATTTTAAGCATTTTTTTTAAAATTTTTTTAGACACACCTAATATAAATACACTTAAAAAGTATAATATTTGTAAAAAATATTTAAAAAATACACTAAATACCAAAAAATACAAAAAAAAAGAAAAAGAAAAAAAAAATCAAGTACATTTTTTTTTGTATTTTTGTGTATTTATTAATTTTTTAAAATATTTTTTTACAAATATTTTGCTATTTAAATACATCTAATTAAGATGCATCTAAAAAAGTAAAAAAAAAAAATTGCTTAAAATTTTAAAAATATTCACTAAAAACAAAAACAAAAACAAAAACAAAAATACGAAAAATAAAAAATTCAATTTTCAGAAAACTGAAACCAAACACACTCAATAGTTTTTTCTTTTTTTGTTGTTGTTGTTGTTGTTGTTATGTAGCGTATCGTGAGTCAGCTTACGCGTACCAGATTAAGTCCCTATAGCCCGAGTAAGCTTTCAGAAACAGGACTTATACCCTGCGGTTCGTAACCCTAAGGTATGCATTTGTTTGTTAGGAGATTCGAACCTGAAACCTAGGGGGGTAAATTTTCAGGTCTCAGCCATCACCCACTAAACCAACCACCCGGGGCTTTTCCCAAATTAAGACAAAATAGCAACCTATTTCCCAACGAAAATGATCCAGAGCTCGAAACTCTACGGCTCGAAACGGCTCGAATTTTTTTTTCCCTTTTCAAGCAAAGGAGCTCTGCACAAACAGAGGGAAGAGAAGAGGAGAAAGAGGGAGAGGAGAGAGGAAGAAGAGAGGAGAAGAGAAAGAGGAGGAGGCAGCACCACCGCCGTCGCAGTCGCCTCGCCACCGTCGTCGCAGCACCACCTCCTCACCTCCTGGCCGATCGTCGCACCACCGCTTCGCCAATTGTCGCAGTCGCAGTCGCAACCCCCTCTTGTCCAGTTCGTCGCAGCAGCTAGCCCGGCGCAGCCCCGCCTCCTCTTCCAGCCCGATTTTTATGGCCCCCTTCCCTCCCTCCTTCCTCCTCCTCCCGATCTTCTTCTCCACCCTTCTTCTTCTCCCTTCTTTTTCTTCTTCCTTTTCTTCTTCTTCTCCGTTCTCCTTCTCTGCAAACAACACAGGAAAAAAGAAAAAAAAAAAAAAACGACACCAAAACGACGTTGTTTTGGTGTCGAGCCAAATTTGTGCCAAAGAATTTCGAGTTACGTAGCGGGGTCGATTTCCCAAACTAGGCCTATTTTGGATGGAATTCCCAAACTAAGCTAAACCACGCTTTCACCTTTTTTGTGACCCTCCCGCAAAAAATTTGTAAAATCGTAAAAGCGTGGTTACAAACCACGCTTTTAAATAATTTTTTTTCTTCAAAAACCACGCTTTTAAATAATTTTTTTTTTCTTCATAAAATGTGGTTCCTAACCACACTTTTACTGT